TATCTTGGTTCTTCATCATTTTCTTGATTATTTTCATTCTCTATTTCATTCGTCTCTATTATTTCTCTGTTTACAATCTCTTTAGCTGTTCTTTTATCTGTAGTATCATAAATTTCATCATTCTCTCTGTTCTGGTTATCGTCTTTTTGTATATCTTCATCTTCTAAATTACTTCTCACATATATTTTATCATTTTCTTCCTTTATAATTCCTTCTTTGTATTTTAGTTGAGTCTCGTCAAATCTTACATCTCTAGATACTTTTATTTCATTTGTTTTTGGGTCCCATAAACGATATCCATTTGAACTATATCCCACTAATTTCATTTCTTTTGCTCTTTCCGTGAATTTATCTTGTTTAGGTAATATATGCATCCATACTTTTGAACCAAATACTCTGAGCTTAGTCAAATCTTTATTACCAAATTTCTTCTCAGCTGGTGTATAAAAATCAATTGCAGAGGATGGGCACCTGTTGATTTGATAGACTGCACAACCTACTGCTTCACCCCATAACATCCTTGGTAATCCTGTTTCCATTAGTAACGTCCTTGCTTTATTATAGATAGTCCTGTTCATTCTCTCTGCAACACCATTTGACTGCGGGCTATATGGTGTAGTATACTGTTGAATGATACCTTTGTCCTTACAAAATTTATTTAATTTTTCATTTTTGAACTCACCGCCATTGTCACTTCTTATCTTCTTCACTTTATTTCCTGTTTGCCTTTCTGTTCTATTAATATATTCTATAAGTCTGTCGGTTGCTTCACTTTTCCTTTTCAATAGGTATACTTCACAGAAATGAGAGTAATCATCAATAATAGTATGATAGTATAACTCACCTTTTAATGTAGGAGTTCTCATTGGACCGGATATATCTGTATGTACCAACTCACCTATGCAACGGGAACGTGGTTTTGAACAATCTTGGAATGGTAGTCTAGTAGACTTGCTTTGCATACAGGGCTCACACTGCGACTTACTGTATGGAAGATTCAACATTTTTAGCTGGTTCCTATTAGCATGCCCTAGTCTTTTATGCCAAATATCATGTGACAGGCAGCATTTTTCATAATTCAATTGCATATCTATAACATATAACTTACCCTTGATTTTTCCATTAACTACCGAATGAAAATTAAATATTGATACATAGTCATTGTGAAATTTAACCTGCAAACCTTTTGTTATTAACTTTCTTACTGACAGCAAATTGTGTGATAATCCTGAAACTATTAATCCTTCTATTTGAATATTTATATTATTATATTTTAAATTAAGTTTACCTTTTCTAGTACTTGATAGATATTGACCGTTAGCAACAAATATTTTTACTTCTTTTTCTAACTTAGAAACATTTGTCATATATGGTAAGTATTTGTCCTTAATTAAATGATCAGTAGCACCAGAATCTACCACTAACTGAATACTGTCACTCATATCAAAGTTACCTACATCGAACGCTGTGAACATCATTTCGCATTCATCTTCCCTGTTGTCTGCTTGAGTAATTTTACCAGATTGCCACGATGAACTGGAGCCTCGACCTCTACTTGAATTATATCCTCTGGATTGACCTCTCTGTCCTCGATGACCTCTATCCAATGATCTTCCTCTAAAGTTAACTTGTCCGCTTTTACACTGATATGCTTTGTGTCCTTTCTTGCCACATTTGAAGCAGGCTAAGAAACTGTGTGCGTCTGTTTCTGATAAAGTAGGTTCTTGTCCTTTTAGTTTTAGTTCTGCGTCCAACAATCTAGATTTTACGAAGTCAACAGTCAACTCCTTGTCCATAGTCTCTAATGTGGTTATCACTGTATCATATTCCTTTGGTAGCGTCAACAATAGGTGACACACTTTGTCGCTTTCATCTAATGTTATTCCAGTTCCTTCCAGGTCGGAAATTAGTTTTTCAAAATTCATAAAATGGTCTTGCAGTTTTGTATAACTTACACATTTCAAAGATAACAGCTTTTTACGTAAATAGAGTTTGTTGAAAACACTTTTTCTTATAAACACTTCTTCCAGTTTTGTTATCATATCATATGCTGTTGTACATCGTTTTACTATATCGATAAATTTGTCAGATAAGCATTGCACTATTAAACTTCGTGCTTTGGCGTCGATATTTTTTATGTCCACCTCAGGATTTCTATCTTTATTGATTGTTTCTTCCAATCCCCTTTCTTCTAATAAGGTTTTCAGTCTGTATTTCCAATTTGAAAAATTTGCTCCGTCTTCCAGTTTAGTTACTACGAAATTCATATTCGATGCCATCTTTCATAAATGTATCTTATTTATGTTTTATTTTCTTTACGATATATTTTCCACATTAAAACTTTTACTTTCTTCCCATATTTTATTAATTGAAGCGCAGTGGAAGCGTTTTGAGGATTTAAAATGACGAACATTATAAATTAGGCACCATCTTTATTAGCAGAGCAAAACCAGAGAGAATAGACAACAAAAGGCATAGATATACTGGAATACATTAGGGCATACATACACTATAACTTTAACAAGCTCTTGTTAAGGTGGATTTACACCAAACGAGCGAATGCTCATTCTATCCCCACTACGTCAAATTCTTCTAGTGTAAACAGGCGGAGAGCATTCTTTCGTTGTTCTTAGTGCGTTCGCAAAGATTCTATAGAATATTCTAAGAATGCTCGCTCGCTCGATGTAAACGGCGCAAGAGCGCGTGAACAGTTGCTTAGAACATTCTAGCGTGTTCGGACGCGCTCGCTCCACTGAGCGGTCTCATCAAAGTGTTCTTGTGTTCTAGCGTATGTTTACTTACGTATCGTATCAATTAAATTATGGATTGGTCTCAAGAAAAATGTTTATTAATGATAGAAGCCTACCAAAATGCCAGATGTCTATGGGATCCGACATATGAACATTATAAAAATACAACTTACAAACAAGATGCTTGGCAGGAAATCGCAACACTACTGGAATGTAATAATGTTGAAGAATTAAAAAAAAAGATGGACTCGCTTCTTGCATCTTACCGACGAGAAAGGCAAAACACATTGAGTACGAAATCAGGTAGTGGTGCCGATTGTACTTATAACTCTAAATGGTTTGCATTTAAAAGTATGCACTTTTTGATGGACAAATATAAACCGAGGAAAACAATTGATTTCGACTCTAACCAAAATAAAAAGGATAGCACAGCACTACCAATACCAACCAAAGAATTGACTCGAATGAGCAAAGAACATTCGATCTAGCTCTTGTTTACACCAAAAGATTAAGAAAGAACATTCTTGTTCTAGTTCGGTGTTCGTTTGATGTAAATAGATACGTCAAGTTTTAGTTTACACTAGATATTAACGAAAGAATGCTCTAGTTCTAGCTCTAGCTCTATGTTCTTTTAGTCTAAATCCACCTTTAGAAAACGCATACGCTCAATTGCTTGACAATAATAGCGAGCGAGCAAGAAAAAACTCTCTGTGCTTATAAAACAATATACCTAAGACCAGCCATAAGTTCTGTAACAAATGAAAAACCATTTTTTTAATGAGGTAATGGAGACTAACTGAATTTTAATAATATTATATTAAAATTTATACCTGCATATTTATTGAAGTCTCAGCGAAAAATAAAAAAGTATTCAAAATGGCCAATTTTGGCTTTAATACAGGCCTTTAATCTGTTTGGCCACGAATCTATGGATTTAAGCTGTTTCCGAGGGAAAATTCGCTACTGCTTGCTCCAAAGATTTTTTAAGAGACTCAATGTCGCCATGTAGTTTAGTGCAGGCCATGTCCTCTAAAACTGACCATAATTTGAAGTCTAAAGGGTTGAGGTCTGGGCTAGATGAGGGCCAGTCTTCAGCTCTTATAAAGTCTGAAACGTTGGTTTCAAGCCAGGCCAGGGTAGTTCGTGCCTTCTGACCAGGTGTAGAATCCTGCTGGAAAGTCCACGGTATATTTTTAAAAAATTTATTGCTGAGAGGTTTCACAACATGATCCAAGCATTTGCTATTGGATCTTGATACTCTTTGGCTTAAGTTTTCACTCCTTATTCACAAAAATGTAGTTTTGTGAATCCTTGATAAGACACGCCCCACCAAACCATCACTGACGCAGGATGATGACTACGTTGTACCTTTCCGAACACTTGAGCAGTTTCTTTAGAACTGTGAACGTACACTTTATCATTTTGCTTATTGTAGTGTTCATCAATCGTGAAAGTTTTGTTAATTTTTTTGATTAATAAAGACTCTTGCATTGTGCAGTCGAGTAAAAAGTGAAGCAAGATCGACATATTAGTAGTTACAACGTAGCTGAAGAACTGGGAATGGATCACAAAATAGTTTTGGCGCATTTGAAAAAAGCTGGGTACACAAAAGAGCTCTATATTTGGGTGCCTCACGAGCGCACTGAAAGAAACGTAATGAACCGCGTACACATTTGTGATTCTTCTGACGTAATGAAACCAAACCATTTTTGAAGAAGTTGATAACTGGAGATGGAAAGTGGATCACGTACGACAAGAACGGGCGCAAAAGGTCGTGGTCAAAGGCCGGTCAGACTTCACAGACTCTGGCGAAACATGGGTTAACAGGGTGATGCTGTGTGTAGGGTGAGATTGGAAGGGCATTATTCATTATGAGCTATTACTGCCAGGCAGAACCATCGATTCTGAACTCTACTGCGAACAACTGTTGAGATTAAAGCAACAAGTTGATAGAAAGTGGCCGGAATAAATAAAACAGAAGGGGTGTGGTTTTTCATCATGATAACGCTAGCCCTCACACAACTTTAGCCACTCAGGAAAAATTTAAATAATTTGACTGGGATGTGTATATGCATCCGCCGTATAGTCCTGACTTTGCACTTAAGCTTTCCATGTGTTTCGGTCTCTTAATAATTATTTAGGCAGTGTCAGCTTAACATATCGAGAGGACTGCCAAAGCCACTTGTCGTGGTTTTTTGATCAGAGGGCTTCTGTCTTCTTCCTAAATAAAATTCATTTAGCTATGGGATCATGTTCCTACTTACAAGATGGCAAAAAGATATCAACAAAAAATTGCACCTACATACTTTAGTTAAATGTAAATAAACTTTATTAAAAAAGGTTTTGAATTTTAAAATTAAATACGCAGAAATTTTATTAAAAGTTAGTTGGAGGTTGATTGTTTCGCGGCACAACCGACCCCAATTGAACGGCACTTTTTACCGCGTTTCAATTAACTACATTAAATTTTACCATAATGACAATAAAACCGTCAAACACATTGTTAAAATTGCACTATATTTCTAGATAAATTAAAAACCCACATGTGAAACTGCAACATCCGTAACACTAAAAATGCTTACTTTAGACCAAAAAGTATGAACGTAAAAATATTTACTTATGTGGTGTTGGCGGTCACTGGGTTCGCGTCTCTGGCGCAACTAGTATAGCCGCCGCGCATGCACCACACTGCTAAAGCACTAGACCTAATACGAACATATAATTTTATCTATCTTTATTTTTTAGATATTTGCATCGGAACAACCTACCCCCGGCACTTTTAACCCCCTCTCCCCTATAGTTATATGAATTTGTCTTATGTGCTTTTCAATTTACAGTGACTTCGATCGTCTCCTGGACCTCTGCACAATATCAAAGGACATCAGGTCACCAAGACCACAGCGGGCATGGGTGGGACATAAGACTGGCAGTCCCGGGAGAACCAGGTAGTGACTATCCAACCCTTGGTTCTATACCTAGAACATCATTTTCCTGCGCTGGAAAACCACCAGGTAAATAATATATACTTTTTCTTTATTAACATTTAAGTCATAAAATTACTTATTCTTAGAATTGTTTCAATTACATACAGTACACAATTATATCGGGTATTTTCGAAAGAAAAACCTCGTTAATTTTATTTGTTTTTTTTCAGGATATTATGCAGATTTAGAAACGAGTTGCCAAGTCTTCAGGGTGTGTACATTAGGCTCAACTTACGGCTTTCAATCGTTCCTCTGTCCCAACGGCACACTATTTAATCAAGCCGTATTTGTCTGTGATTGGTGGATGAACGTAAACTGTAAAGCATCACCAGAACTATTTGACAATAACAATGATAAATTTGGCAGCCTCAGATTAGGACCACAGCTAATGAAGGACGTCAAGAAGATGTTAACACATCCCATGCGTAATCCTTACGATAAAACTACAATGAAAAGTAACCTCATTGTAATGCAAGACTACAGGCCTCCTTCAGGACAACTTTTTCCCAATGAAGCATTAATTGCTGGACCAGAAAGGGCCCCTAACAATGTATATATTCCTGCTAAGCAAGTACAATCACCTAATCAACAATATTTTAATGGAAATGACATTGAATATGCGTCATCAACTCCTGACCCGCGTTATTTACCTGCTGCTTTTAACTCAATACAGCAATCAACTGTAAAAGATGCTGAAGTATTCCAAAGACAAAGACAAAATGGTCAATACTATCAAAACAACAGATTACAAAGTTCACCAATACGCCAACAAGGAATGAATCCATCTAACACTCACACTGGACAATTTTCCCTTAATAATCATAATGCAAACTTACAATTTACTCGTCCTGCGCAGAATTTTGGGAACACAAATTTACATTATGGACAAATTAGTAACACAAGACCGACTCAAACGACAATATCATATACCACAAATTCACAAAATGGACAGCATATTCAACCATTGTCTCAATACAGGAACAACGGTTATCCCTCTAGATTAGTCAATGGGAAACACTCAGAGTTAAGTATTTCCTACAACAAACAACAATACAATGCAAAACAACAGCAAGAGAAAGATGCATACATATACAGACAACCACAATTGCAGTTCTCTAGTGAAATAGATAACAAGGCCGGAAATGGAGCTAAACAAAATTTGGTAAGTGCAAATGATGTTCCTTCTACAGTAATAACAAAAACACTGACTTTGAAAAGAGTTATACAAGATCCAAAACGTGGCAGTCCTAAATCACGAATTACAGTAAAAACGTGGATTGTTAAGCCCTCAAAATCGGCTAAATTAATTAACCCTACTCCATATACCTATGATAAACCTACCCAACCACCTACACAAAGACTACTAGACACTACTCCTTATGTCTACAATAGACCAAGAACAACTGAACCTGAAAGGATCGTCGCCGATCTAGAAGAACCCTATATTTATAATAAACCAACAACTACAAAACAGACTCCAATTTCTTCCAGAGTTCCTACTCTTACCTTGTCAACATCAACCACTCCTCAGCCCACTCTATCTCGTTTGTATCTTTCACCAACTACAATACCACCTACTCAAGCTTCCCGGCTTTATCTGGCTCCAACTACATATAACCCATCTTCTAGAATATACTTGCCACCCGATGACAATTCAATAATTTTATCCAGGCAATACTTAGCACCATTGCAAACAAACGACCAGCTAAGAGCGTCACCAACAACACCATCACCGACTTATGTATTTCCTAATATTAAACAATCTTTCTCTCGTATTCAAGACGCTTCTGTTAATGTTGATCGTAATAATTTATCATTTACAGATATATTAACAAAAGAAAAACTTGATTTAACTGTAGATGATATCGTTAAAGATACTAGTAAATATTTAGGTACGGCAAGTCCTGAACATTTTGAACGGTTACAGGATTTGAATTCAGTTGATTATCCTGAAGAAAACTATTTGCCACCTGCAACAAAAAGTGACAGTAGGGAAAGTTTAACATCAGTCTCTCCTTCGTCAACACCTATTTCTCAAAATGCTCGATTAGTCTCTAGTCCTTCCACAGAACTTGAGCCACCAGAAGAAATTTATGACAGTAATGAAAACCAAAACTCTAATCGAATTTCAAGTTTACCATTTTTGAAAGAATCCTTTTCGCCAACAAACACCATTGAAAGAACTGTTTCCCTAAAAATATCGATACCGGAGAAAATTGCAACTTATCTTTTTAAAAAACATAACGAAAGTGATTTTGATAAGCTAGAAATACTAAACACAGGAAGTAGTAACTACTTAGTACTAACAAACAATAATATTAAGAAAAACTCACATACAAACTTCATCCCAATAGGCAAATTAATCTCTGATAAACAGTCAAATATTTCTAATTCACAGAATCTAGTGTTTTCTCTGCTGGCTGACTCTATCAACGTAGCTAAAGGCTATAACAACGCCCAGAAAGACACCATTGCATCATCTCCAGCACAGTCACATTTTCAAAATATAAACAATGAGGAATTGGCTCAAATCACCAACCAAATATCACAACTTACATCATCACAATACTCGGTTAATAATAATCAGGGTGGACACAAAAGTGCACAAATTGCTTCAACGACTCGCAACACTTTCGATAATGGGAAAAACCAACACAGAGGTTCAACACAAAATCAATACTCACAGAAACAAGTAGAACAGATACAAACAGATCAATATAATTCCAATCCTTCGAGAGAACTTAACCAATATGAATTACAATTATCACGATATCAAACTGGAAATCAAGCCAACCTGCAAAGTAACACAAAGCAACTTTACAGTGGACAACTATATCAACTTCCCGTACCAGACGTTACCAAACAAGTTTACAACCAAAATGTTAACTCTGTACAAAATAATCGAGGCAAACCTAATGCGGATGTAGAAATAATCAAATCAGAATCTGTACCCGTACCGCCAGCTTCTGCTAGGTTGGAAGCATCACCTACCAGTGAACTTGATCATTTTAACAGTAAAGAAAACTTTAGCAAACTTATTAACAGTAACAATGGTATATCGGCTCAATTACAGGATAAAATTGTGGGCATAATACCACATCCATTGGAAGACAATAAAGTTGTAACTTATAAAAAAGACGAATCATATTATGTGTATACTAAGTTAGATAACTCATTTGGACGAAATTTTCAAAGTAATGGTAACAATGTTCTAAGCAATAATGTCGGTCAGCAACAGAGTGCAAGATTAATTCAAGGGAATAACTTACCAAATGTTGTTGCATTTCAATTTATTCCTTCAGTAAGTTATCAATTAGAAGATGAGAGAGAACAGCAAAAGCTGTTAAATGCTTTCCACATAGACGAAAATGGAATTCCAAAACAAAAGAGTAATTTGGTATACAACTCAAATCAGCCTTTTCTTACGAGTAATGTTAACTATTCAGTAGACCACACAATTCCAACGAAAGAAGCAAACAGACAACATGGTGATGTAAGTAACTTATATGCTGGTCCTTCTTCATATTCAGCTCCTCAATCGTCAGTTGGAAGGTTAGTAAGCAAACAAAACATGAATTCCAAATTAGAACTGGAAAACAATAGTAACGGTTATTCTCGAACAATTCCATCACGACATTTTACATTTTAATAGTTTTCAATTTAATTTAAGTAGTAAGTAGATACTTAGGTAAGAATTTTTATTATAAAATAAATTGTCTTATTGACAATTTTACTGTAGATACATTGTTGTCTAAGATCAATACTAGCTCAAGTATATTGATAATTAAATATGTAGATTTTATTATTTTGCACCTGTTCTTTGAGTTAACTGTAAATAAACTACTCGCCTGACCGGGAAGAAAAGAAAAACATATAAAGAACCAGTTCTTATTGCAGTGCAGATAGTAAAAGCATATTAAAAAAAATAGGCAGTTTTTGTAACTAGGGATAATGAGAGGACAGTCACAATTGTCAACAAAACCTTATATCTTAAATAATGAAAATAATCTGACAAAAGCATAGTTATCATATTTGATGTGAAACTAATTACTGGTTTTTAACAGTATTAAAGTGTGAATTACCAATTATTTGACTCCTATGTTTATAGTCATATTGATAAGGTACCTACCTGTTTCATGAACCACTGTTAAGTCTATAACTGCTAAAGTTTGTGTAAGTAACACATAAATTAGGTATCAATTGTGATACGGATAGTATAAAGTTATATTCTAGTTATATTAAATTTGTTGATGAAGAACTGATTTATTAATAAAATATTAGTATGTTTATCTTAACAAAGAGATGAGGTTTTCAAATGCATAAAGCCTCCTAACTCTAAAATAAAAACAGGAACTGATGAACGTATTACAATATTGTACTATCTGCCAAATAAAATATTATACTGTTTCAGAGATTTTTATTTTTCCCCATCCAGTTTCAAAGATAGTGATAATCGTGTTATGAAAACTCATACCTATAGATTTTTCTCATGAATTGGTAAATACAATACTTTTTTAAGTTACTTTGTTTATGCGAATTTCCACGAGTGAATACATAACATCTGTAATAATCTGTATTTCTTAAAAGTAGCCGTCACCGATCGACTCTCTGGACTGACTGCTGAACACAATATGATGAAAATTTAGGTTTTTTACTTATTTGCTATATTAAATATTTTACTTAAAAGATAATTTGTCTTGTTTATGATTATGTATAGAGCAGAGATGGTTTTTTAAGAATTTAGTGAATTATACTCTGAGAACTTTTTACTCCGAATCTGCCGTTCCCTGTACCATTATTTAAAAGTATTTTTTAACAACCTAGACAATATTTTTTATTTACACCCCTTAAATTAAAAAAATCATATGGAAAAGATGAAACGGAAATGCGTCACGAGCGTCACGCGCGGCAAAATATATATATATCGGTGGTCGTTTAATTAGAAATACTACCAACGGTCCTTGACATTATGTAAGATACTCACCGCAGTAAACAATAAATAGAACAACGATTTATTATTTATTAAAAAAACAATATAAATCCCATTAAACAAATGCAGTTCCAATATAACATTACGGACAAACATTTAAGTTCAGTTTTAAGGAATGAACAGTAATGTTCAACTAATTAGGAACAACAACAAAAAAGTAGGTATAAAAAACAATATTTTGTTAAGTATTAGTAATTAGTATTGTTATTTACGAAATAGCTACTATCCACAGCCTACCAATTGTTATAATAATTATTTAGTGGAGTTTCCCTTATTTCCAATAACAGCACTGCAACGACGTGCCATTGCCATTGATTCAATCAAGTTCATACATTTTTCTAGGGGGATTGAATTCCATGCTTCAACAAATGCTTCATATAGTTCGTTATGACTGGTATTACTTTTGTTTGAGACTTTCTTTTTAACAATATACCAGAGTATTTCTATCGGCTTTAAATCCGGACTATTCCGGGCTCTCCGGTCGACCTCCGTAGCCGAGTGGTTTGTACGCCGGGTTGCATGGCGTCGCCGACTCGAGAGGTACCGTGTTCGAATCCCGGTGGGGGCAGATATTTGTGTGATGAACACGAGCATTTGTACTCCAGTCATGGATTTTTAAATATGTATTTCTATATAAATATACTTATATATGTAAAGTATGTGTATTCTATCCGTTACCCTAGTATCCCATAACACAAGCCTTATAGTGCTTACTTTGGGGCTAGGCTAATTGGTGTGAGTGTTGGAAATATTTATTTATATTTATTTGCTGGCCAGTCTAAAACGGATATACGCTGTTCGTAATGGAAGAATCATTTGACGCTATTGGTCGTATGTTTAGGCTCATTGTCATGCTGAAAGATCCAGGTTACAGGCAAATAATCATCGGAGTAGGGAATCATTGTGTGCTCTAAGATATTTTTGTATTGTTATTGATCCATTGTACCTTCAATCTTCCGACCGGGTCCAAGTCCACATCCGGAAAGACGCCCCCAAACTTTAATGTTACCACCACTGCTTGACTATACTCCTTATGTATTTATAATTAAAAGCATTGTTTACAGGACGTCTAGCATAGCGCTTTCCATCGGAATTTACCATATTTATTTTTGTTTCATCTGAAAATAACACTTTTTTCCATTCTCGTACTGTCCACCTAACATATTTTTTAGCGAATAATAATCGCTTCTCCCGCTGTTACTTGGTAAGAAGCGGTAACTTTCGAACGATTCACTAATCTTCTTGGCGAGATGTTTCTCGGGTCATCAGGGGAAAAAAATCATTTTCAATCCGCTTGGAGCCTGTACTTGGGTATTTTTTAGCAACACGAACGATTAGCGTATCTTCTCTGGGAGAGGGTTTTCTTGGCCGAGCCTTTCCAAAACATTTGCAACAGTTCCATGTGTTTTATAATGATCAATAGCATTAAAAACTTTCTTAACAGAACAATTTAAATGCTCAGCTATTCCTCTGTATGCCCACTTATGATCTATATGTAAATTAACAATTATTTGCCTAGTTGACGCGTCACAAATTTTATTTTTGCCTATTTAGAAGAAAATAAAATTCAGATTAATTTTTCAATTGCCGCCAAAATAATAGCAAACTTTGTTTTTAGTTCTATTCTTCTCTATTGAGAAAGGCAAAGGCAGAGCCATGCAGCCATCGTCTTATTTTTGTATTAATCTTCTTTTTTTACATTAGAATGTGGGTGTGACGCATTCTAATGCTTCTTGGAGTGTTTGGCATGAAATATATCAAGTTTGCTTTTTCGATAAGCTTCGTCGTCAATACTACAATAAAGTTCTCACGTCCTGTTCGATGCATTGTAATCGAACACCCATAATTTTGCCTAAGACCGCGTTAATTGATTCAGGCATTGCATTTTTGGTACCGAATGAGTCGGGTGCATTCATCAAACATTAACATTTCAACATACGCGTAAAACATTATTATCATTAACGTTAATTTTAGTGTAGTTTATAAAGAACTATATTGTGGACTTCATAATAAAACCATATAATATATTTGAACTTCCTCTTTTAATTCAAACATTCACCGTTATCTAGTGCAAGTCGGAACATGGTCCTTCGAGTGACCTCGCGAATCGGTTAAATATCGTCGTGAGTGTAAATGAACTAGTGAACAGTGACCTATCTGGATTGCGGTGAAATATAGTGGTATTCCAGGAATACCAATCTTTATCAGGCTTGGATTTATATCCAGGCCTCTCACCATATACCCGGAGCAGCATCAAATAACAAGTAAGATCTTTCTTATTTTTCTCTACAACAATGGAAGACCTTATTGAATACCAGAACCAGCTGATGACCGCTATGGAGCAGCTCGTCAAAAACATCAAAAAAGATGGGGCAAGTCGCAAACCTGCCCTGTATATCAAGCAAAGAATACAAACTCTGGACAGTTATTGGCAAGACTTTGAACTTAACCATCTCCAAATGAGTAAATACGATGAACGTGACTATACATACTTTTCGGAAGATATGTATGCTAAAACTAAAGCTTATTATGAAGAAAAAAGACGATTTAGGAACATCTAGATATAGATCGTGGGAGAGTAGCTTAGGCTACTGCATGAATGGGCCGGCTCGACCGGAGGAATACCACGACCTCACAGAATACCGGCGAAGCAGTACTTTGTACTGTGTTTCGCCGAGTGAGTGAGGCTACCGGAGGCCCAAACCTCCCTTTTCCTCATGATGGCGCAGTCAAATAGGCTAATACCCCAAGGGGGTACCAGCTGTTTTCACGCTGGAGAATCCTCCTCTGGACGTCCATGCCCAGAACTATCTCCTTCTGGACGTGGACGTCGAGGCTGCCCTTCGTATTCTGGGGAGGGCGAAACCACGCTCATTACTGAAACTGCTCGAGGCCAGAGCAAGCGTCATACGTCACCCCCTGCCATGTTTAACGTGGATTTCTGCAATATCAGGGGCTTACACTCCAACCTTAATGCTGTTCACTACCACCTTCAGACAGTGCAGCCGGCCTTGCTTTTTTTGACTGAGACGCAGATATCCTCTCCAGCCGACATCTCCTACCTCCAGTACCCTGGGTATACCCTGGGGCTGGGGTATGTGTGTACGTTAAAGAGGGTATCAGTTTCCGTCGCCTCAGCAACTTTGAAGGTATGGACCTCTCCATCTTATGGTTGCGTATAGACGTCGATGACCATCCCCGCGTCTACGCCTGCCTCTACAGCGGAAATGCCGAAACTGACCGACTCTTCGATCACATCCAGGTGGCTACAGACTCCGTGCTTCAGCAGATCCCATCATCTGAAATTGTGATCCTTGGCGATTTCAATGCCCACCACTCCGAATGGCTTCACCCTCTACCGATTATGCAGGCAGATCTGCTCATGACTTCGCCTTGGCCTATGGTCTGACACAACTGGTCACCTCGCCTACGCGAATCCCAGATGTCGAAGACCATACACCTTCACTGTTGGACCTTCTGCTGACTTCACATCCGGATAATTACAAAGTGTCCATAGATGCCCCTCTTGGCTCCTCGGACCATTGTCTAATCCGGAGTATGGTACCACTCACTTACTCACCGCAGCCGCAATTTGCTGGCTGTCGTCGTGTGTGGCACTATAAGTCAGCAGACTGGGATGGGATGCGCACTTTCTTTTCATCCTACCCTTGGGGCCAGGTTTGCTTCTCGCAGAATGATCCCAACGTCGCTGCCGATTCTGTCGCCGATGTTGTCCTTCAGGGTATGGAACTTTTTGTTCCTTCCTCTGTGGTTCCCATTGGTGGCAAATCCCAGCCTTGGTTTGGTCACTACTGTAAACTGGCATCTCGCCAAAAACAGATGTGTTATCAGGCCTGGGCAAACGCAGCGGCGGTCGGGAATAACAATACTAGCGATCTCAAAAAGAAGTATAACTTGGCCTCCAGGTCCTGCAAAAGAGTAATTGCCAGAGCGAAGTCAGAGCACATTAGCAGCATTGGCGAGAGATTAATAAAACTTCCCTCTGGAACACGCGCGTTTTGGTCTCTTGCCAAGGCTGTTGAAGGAAATTTTTGTAAGCCATCCCTTCCACCCCTGCACAACGGCGACGAATCGATGGCCCATACTGCAAAAGAGAAAGCGGATCTTTTATGCTCACTCTTTGCGTCTAACTCGACTTTAAATGACAGGGGATACATACCGCCAACCATCCCGCGGTGTGAGAGCTCTATGCCGGAGATCCGGTTCACACAAAGCTTAGTGCGTAAAGCACTCTTTTCCCTTGTCATCCACAAGTCGAGCGGGCCTGAAGGAATCTCTCCAATTGTGCTGAAGACGTGTGCTCCTGAGTTGGCTCCGGTACTAACGCGTCTTTTCCGGCTCTCCTACTCTTTAGGTTTCGTTCCGAACTCACGGAAGACAGCTTTAGTGCA